TCGTCGCCGTCGTCGTCGTCGTCGTCGTCGTCGTCGTCGTCGTCGTCGGTCCCCTGTCCGTCCCTCTTGGGGTCGGGTCGACGGTCCGTGGCCGCCCCGCCGATCAGCGCTGCCGCTGGCCAGGCCGACGGTCCGCGGCCGCCCCGCCGCTTGCCAGGGCCCGGCCTGCAGAGAAGAAAGGTCTACCCCCAAAAAGGGTTCGATCGAAGACGAAGAGAGCGGGTACCGAGGGTTTTGGAAATACGCGATATTGGACATTCGAGCAGATAAGGGCGAACAGTCTTAAAATGATTGTTGTTGTTGATGTTGGTACGTATTGTTGATCTCCCCTCCGGTGGCCATTGTACTTTTTCAAATGAAGTGCTTCCCCAAGGCTAGCACCGTGTATTTTACCAGGGACATTCAATAGGCTCAAACTGAATTGCTGGTCCCCGGATTACAACAACCACGGCTCCCACGTTAGATTTCCCTACACGTTAGCCACAATACCCGCTCCCGCCTGAGACTTCGTCGCATTTTACTCAGGAGTCGCGCTCTCGCTTGGGACTTCCTCACACAAAAGATAATAAAAAAACGCACTCTCGGCGTTCTGCAGTCGCGCTCTCGCTGGAAACTTGCTTGCGATTTACTCGAGAATCACGCTCTTGCCATAAAATTCCCAACAATTTACTCAATCGCCGCGTTCCCAGCACTCAGGCACCCAGGAACGCGCTCACTCTTAGGACTCCCACACAGCTTACTCAAGAATCGGAGCTCGCTGCCCGCCGTGGACCCGTTGCAACCTTTCGTGGCCCCCTCGCTGCCCTTCGTGGACCCGTTGCACCCCTTTGTGGCCCCGCCCCCTCGCTGCCTCTCGTGGCCCTGTTGCAAGCCTTCGTGGCCTCCTCGCTGCCCTTCGTGACCCTGTTGCAGCCCTTCGTGGCCCCCTCGCTGCCCTTCGTGGCCCTGTTGCAGCCCTTCGTGGCCCCCTCGCTGCCCTTCGTGGCCCCAGTGCAACCTTTCGTGGCCCCTTCGCTGCCCTTCGTGGACCCATTGCACCCGATTGTAACCCCCTCGCTGCCCTTCGTGGGCCCTTTGCGCCACTTCGTGGCCCCCTAGCTGCTCTTCGCGGCCCCGTTGTAGCCCTTCGTGGCCCGGTCGCTGCCCTTCGTGGCCCCGTTGCAGCCCTTCGTGACCCGGTCGCTGCCCTTCGCGGTCCCGTTGCAACCCTTCGTGAGCCCCTCGCTGCCCTTCGTGGCCCCGTTGCGCCCCTTCGTGGCCCACTCGTTGCCTTTCGTGGCCCCGTCGCGACCCTTCGCGGCCCCGTCGCTGCCCTTCGTGGCCCCATGCCCTTCGTGGCCCCCGCTCGTTCGCGCCCGTCGTGGCCCCATATGAATGAAGTTCGTGGCCCCGCTGTCGCCCTTCGCGGCCCCCTCGGTGCCCGTCGCGGCCCCGTTGCTGCCTTCAGTGGCCCCGTCCTTGCCTTCTGCAGCCCAATATACGCATGCCCTGCGTGGCCCCCGCTCGCCCGCGCCCGCCGTGGCCCCGTGCGCGCGCCCTTCGAGGCCCCGCCGCCGCCCTGTGTGACCCCCTCGCTGGTCTACGCGGCCCCGTTGCTATCCTCAGCGGCCCCGTCGTTGCCCTCTTTGGCCCCGCATTATCTGCCTTTCGTGGCCCCCGCTCGTTCACGCCCATCGTGGTCCCATGCGCGTGCCCTTCGTGGTCCCGATGTCGCCCTTCGTGGCCCCCTTCCTGCCCTTCGTGGCCCCGCTGTCGCCTTCGCTCTCGCTCTCCCTCTCGCTTTCGCTCGTCGTGATCGTCGTCGTCGTCGTCGTCGTCGTCATCGTCGTGGTCGGTCCCCTGTCCGTCCCTCTTGGGATCGGGCTGCCGCTGGCCAAGCCGACGGTCCGCGGCCGCCCCGCCGCTTGCCAGGGCCCGGTCTGCAGGAAGAAAAATATGCCCCCCAAAAGGGGCACGATCGAAGACGATGAATGCGGGCATCGAGGGTTTGGGAAATACACGTTGAATGACACTCGAACAGATAAAATCGAACAGTCTTAAAATTGTTGTTGTTGTTTTGGGGGTCATCTGGCCGATGCATTGGGAATGGTAAGTCGATGGGCCTCGTGGCCCGCGCAGCGATGGTAAGACAAAACGCAGAGCTCGGATCGCCCGTGCGCCCGAAGTGCAGAGCACCCTCGGAGACCTCGCATCACCAAACACGGGAGTGCCCGTGCAGCGAGGACGCCCCTGATATGGAAGAAGAGAACGGACTGTGCGAGCGAGCGACGAGCTCGCTGACATGCCCCTGGTTCTGGCTCCGCGGAGTAGCCCAGCTTCTTTGGACAGTGTCTGGCGCGGGCGCCCCTTCTCGACGAGGTCAGCATCTGACAGGGAGAGTGGCCCCGGCCAAAGTTTGGGATTCCGCAAGGAGCAATGATTGGTAGTGATGGTTCAGGAAGTAAGGGCGCTATAAATGCTCGCCTACACAGAGTCGGCTGGAGTTTCGCCGTCAGTTTTCAACATCGGTCTTGGTCTCTATCAAGTGGGGCTGTTCCAGGTCCAAGACAAGCGGTCCCGAGGGCAGAGTGTGTAGCTGGAGTCAGAGCGCTCCAACACACAAAAGAAGGCGTTTTGATGGTCATCGGTGCTAAGTATGTGGTCAGACGCATTAGCGGAGGTCGAGATCGGGAGCACACCAGCCGCGTTGTTTTGAGGCCACAATTCTGGCGGGTAACGGATGAGCATGATGGTTTATCCCACAAGATGGTCAAGAGCCATCTTGACAGTTCACAGGTCCCAGATAGGTGTGCAGATTGAGGAGGCTGAGTGGTTTCCAAGTGATGCCGTAGACAAGCTGGCGGTCAATGCCGCTGAGGAAGCCGCCCCGCCTTTTCTCTCGTAATACAGATCAGATGGACAAGTAGGCCTGAAGGGTCCAGAATGGTTTTATCATGGTGGCCCGTGAGGTGACCACGGGCTCCAAGGACGTTACGGGACCACCCTGGAAGCTGACATTGAGGCCCTTGCCACTGCCAATGCTAAATCAGGAATGTTCAAATGTAAATTCTTTTTCAGCGGTCAAAGAAAGTCGTTCCTAAAACAGCGAAGTATACAGTAAATAAGTGTAGACGGTGCCTGGACATTGCCATTGATAGCGCGTTGGAACAATCTCAATCACATCAGACCTGTACGGCCACCCTTCATGTGATAAAGAAATTGTGATGGGGGGGAGGAACCCACTGATGACAACCGCGATGACACCAACGGGACACCATCGGGGCACCACCGGGACACCAATCGGGACACCATCGGGACACCATCGGGACACCATCGAAACACCACTGGGACACCATCGGGACACGAATTGGGACAGCAATTGGGACACCACCAGGACAACACCAGGACACTTCCAGACCACCAAGACACCACCGGGACACCACCGGATCACCATCGGGACACCATCGGGACAAAACAAAGTCACCATCAGAACACAATCGGGACACACAAGGGACACCACCGTCGGGACACCATCGGAACACCACAGGGACAGCATCGGGACACCATCGGGACACCAGCGGGACACCACCAAAAGCACCACCAAAACACCATCGGGACACCGTGGGACTCCAAGGGACATCACGGGACACCACAGGACACCATCAGGACACCAAGGGACACCCCCAGCCACCGCTGGACAACCAGGGGAGGGCAGCCTTTTGGCCCAGCAGCACCCTAGCCAGAGAAGGGTCATTCCTCTCGCCCGCCCACGAAGCTCCACCTCGCCCGCACGCACGACAAGAACAGAAACCGAAACCGACTTCCCGGTAAAGGGGGTCTCCGTTTCACTTCGATCTCACCCCACAACCTCGGAGAGCCTTCGAGAGCTTTGTTTTGCAGGACCTGCGGTGCGCGGGGGGGGGAGAAACTTGTCAATCTATACAGAACTTGCGTGCCAGGTTTAAGTAAGTACGCCAAACTCACCCTGTGCAGAATTGACAAAGGTCTACTTCCCAAGGGAGTGGACAAGTGGCAAGACTCGAGCTGATCAGCTCGCCATGTGAGCTGGTACAACGTTGTTCGGGCTTTGCTCAGGGACCGTCCGGTGGGACGAACGTCCGCTGGGCTGTGCCACGCGGGCCGTGAGAGGCGGCGCCCTCCAGAATTGTGCCGAAAGAGGTGCTACAGTCAACGCCTGTTGCGCCTCAGGTTGCAGCGCAGGTGGAGGAGGAGGACGAGGAGGAGGAGGAGGAGGAGGAGGAGGAGGAGGAGGAGGAGGAAGAGGAGAAGGCCGAGGAGGAGGAGACGGGAGGGGGAGGGGGGGAGGAGGAGGAGAGGAGGAGGAGGAGGAGGAGGAGGAGGAGGAGGAGGAGGAGGAGAGGAGGAGGAGAGGAGGAGGAGGAGGAGGAGGAGGAGGAGGAGGAGGAGGAGGAGGAGGAGGAGGAGGAGGTGCGCGCCTGGCGCGGCTGGCGAGCGGGGCCAGCGCGCCGGCCGGGCGGCGAGCGCCGCGCGGCTTCAGGGCGAGGCCGCCCTTCATCTACCGGCCGTCGCGGAGCTGGCCGCGTTCCCGTGCATCGGAGTCTATAGGCCCTGGCCGGTCGACCCCTCCCCCCCTGGGAGAGGCCGCCGTCTGAGACAGCCGGCCACCCCCCGGGGTGCCGCGCCCTCTGAGAGGGAAGGCGGAGGTGTCGACCGGCTCCCGACTATTGTGCTCTGGGGGGCGCGGGTGAACACGCGTCCGCCGCTAGGAGGAGGAAGAGGAGGAGGGGGAGGGATGAGGAGGAGGAGGAGAAGGAGGAGGAGGAGGAGGACTAGGAGGAGGAGGAGGAGGAGGAGGAGGAGGAGGAGGAGGAGGAGAGGAGGAGGAGGAGGAGGGAGGAGGACAAGGAGAAGGAGGAGGGAAGAGGGAGGAGGAGGAGGAGGTGGAGGAGGGGGAGGTGGAGGCGGTGGAGGAGGTGGAGGAGGTGGAGAAGAAAGACGAGTACGCGAAGACCCTCATGCCGCGCGACGGGCGGCGCGTCCTCGGCCCCAGAGCTCTGCGGACAGGCCCTGCTGCGCTGCAGCCCGCAATGGCAGAGGCAGCAGCCCCTGCCAGGCGGGGGAGGGGGAGGCCAAGCGAGGGAGGGAGGGGGGCGACGAAGGCGAGAGGGGGGCCAGGAGGGAGGATGGAGGAATCGAATCTGTTTGGGCGAAGGGGGGCGACGAAGGCGAGACGGGGGCAGGGAGGAGCGAGGCATCGAATCTGACTTGTTTGGGCGGTCTTCCTGGACGCGACGCCTCTGGCCCTCTATGAGCCCCCCCTGGAAGCCTCCCGGTCTCCCGGCAGCCTCCTGGGGGGGGGGGGGGGGGCGGCTCCTCCCCCTCTTCGAGTAGGGGATAGACTACATACAGAATCGAGTTGCCCCAAAAGTGATTTCCGTCGAATCTACGAGGAATGCGTAGGATGCTCTGACATCTGCGAAACGTTCGGGCGCCAAAATGCTCTCCACAGCCTTCCCCAGGTTGGAGCCTCCCTGAGCAACACCGTTCGGGCCCCCGCGGGTGCCAGGCGAGACCTCCCCAAACGTGCGGGTGGCCCTGCCTCGGCCCCGCAACAGCCTGGATCCCCCCGTCCCTCCCTGGAACCTCGGGGCCCCCGGGAGGCGTCTGTAGAGGCCTCCTGGATGGGGGTCCGAGCAGATTGGGTCGGAGGATCGTGCCGCATCGCCGATGCATCGCCGAGGCTTCAGCGATGCACCAGCGACGCTTGCGGTGCATCTGCGACATCGACTTGCAGCATCGAGCCGCATCGTCCCGATGCATCGATCCTCCGACCCCATCTGGGAGGCCTAGAGTCTAGACCCCCCCCCAGGTGCACCAGAACGCCCAAAAGCCTGTCACCGATCATCCTGCATGGCCGCCGCAGGCCGCTGCAGGCCCCGCAAAGGCCGCACGAAGGCCGCTCGAAGGCCGCTCGAAGGCTGTGTGGAGGCCGCGCGAAGGCCACGTGAGGGCCTCGCGAGGGCCGCGCGAGGGCCCCGTTAGCTCCACACGAAGGCCGTGCGAGGGCCGCGCGAGGGCCGGGCGACCGCCGCGCGATAGCCGCGGGAGGGCTGCGCCAAGGGCGTGCGCCCAGGCCCGCCTATCCAGCTGCGCGAGGACGCGGGGCGCCCGGTCCACCCAGCCTGCGGCGACCGCCGCCGCGCCGACGCCGTCGGCGTCGGCCTCGCCGCCGCCGCCGCCGTCTTTGTCGTCGTCGTCGTGGTCGTCGACGGCCAAGTCGTCGCTGCATTCGACGTTACCCATCCTCGACGTCGATTTCGCCGTCGTCGAATTCATCATCATCATCATCATCATCATCATCATCATCATCATCGTCGTCATCATCATAATCATCATCGTCATCATCGCTATCATCATCATCAACAGCCTCACCATCATCACCATCATCATCGTCGTCGTCATCACCGGCATCATCCTCATCCTCATCATCTTCCTCATCCTCATCCTCCTCATCCTCATCCTCGTCCTGATCCACATCATCAACATCATCGCCATCAGCATCTGCATCATCATCATCCACATCATAATCATCACTAGCAGCATCATCATGCACATCATCATCATCGCCATCATCGTCGTCGTCATCGTCATCGTCATCATGATCATCATGATCATCATGTTCATCATCATCACCTTTCCATCACCATCACCATCGTCAGCACCACCATCATCATCACCATCACCGTCACCATCATCATCACCATCACCATCATCATAATCACCACCACCATCATCCACCATCATCGCCATCCCCATAACGCTCATCAGAAATCACCACCACAACCCTCATCTGCATCATCATCACTAGATTCACCACCACCATCATCAGCATCACCATCACCAGCATCGTCATGATCAGCATCACCATCACCATCGCCATCACCATCATCATCATTACCCTATTCACCATCATCATCACCATCATAACCACTAAACCCACCATTATTACTATCACCATCATCATCATCACCACCACCCTCATCATCACCATCACCATCATCGTCATCACCATCACCATCATCGTCATCATCATCATCACCGTCATCATAATCATCACCACCACCATCATCATCATCATTACCATCACCATCACCATCACCGTCATCATCACAATCATCATCATCATCACCACGAACATCACCATCGTCACCATCATCCGTCATCACCACCATCATCACCATCACCATCACCACCATCATCACCACTACCACCATCACCATCGCCATCACCATCACCATCACCATCACCAGCAACATCATCACCACGAGCATCGCTACCATCACCATCACAATCATCACCATCAGCACCACCATCATCACCATCAGCATCAGCATCATCATTAGCAGCATCATCATCAACATCATCATCAGCAGCATCATCACCTTCACCATCATCATCATCATCACCATCAACATCATCATCATTGTCATCGACATCGCCATCACCATCATCATCATCACCAGGACCATTACCATCGTCACCATCATCATCATCACCATCACCATTACCATCACCATCACCACCACCATCATCGTGATCACCAGCACCACCACCATCATCATCACAATCACCATCGCCATCATCATCATCATCATCATCATCACCACGACCATCACCATCATCACCATCACCATCATCACCATATTCATCACCATCAGCAGCATCATCAGCATCATCATCACCATTAACATCATCACCATCAGCAGCATAATCAGCATCATCATCTTCTTCTTCATCATCATGATCATCACCATTAACATCATCACCATCAGCAGCAACATCATCAGCATCATCATCGTCATCATCATCGTCTTCATCATCATCATCATCATCATCATCATCATCATCATCATCATCATCATCATCATCATAATCATCATCATCACCATCATCATTGCCATCGTCATCGTCATCGTCATCGTCATCGTCATTGTCCTCGTCATCGTCCTTGTCATCGTCGTCCTCGCCGTCGCCGTCGAGGACGTCAACGAGGACGTCGCCGTCGTCGTCGTCGTCTGGATCGCCGCTGAGAGGAACGACGCGTTTCTGGGCGCCTATCGCAAGCATCGAGGTCGGCGAGCGTCGTGCTGGCGCCGGGGCTGGCACGCTCGAGACCGGCCCGTCTGGGCGGGGGCGAGCCGGCCCGACCATGAACCAAACGTCCTCCAAAGGCTAGAAGAAGAAAAACGTAAACGTGTAAACTTTTGGCGCTCCGCGCGGAGCGCCAACACTTTATGTTTATGTGTGTTTTAGTTCTGCTTCGAGAGGCTCTCCTGGGCAAAGACGTCCCGACCACTGGAGCCGCACTCGGCCGCTGCCACGGGGGAAGGGGACAGCGAGGGCAGAGAGGGCGGAGCGGAGCGCGCACCAGGACGCACGAGTGGCCGAGTGCTGGGCGTCGGAGCCGTGAGCACGGGACGGAACCCAGGCTGCTGGAGGCCAGAACGGGCCGCGGGAGGCCTCTGGAGGCCCACCCCGAAAGGCCAAAGACGACCAACAATCTCGAGCCTCGAGCCTCGAGCCTCGAGCCTCGAGCCTCGGCGGCGGCATTCTCCGCCCGGGACGACGGACACTGGGCCCCGCTCCGATCCCCCCCCCCACCACGAACCTCGAGGCCACCGTCCCGACCGCATTGGCACGAAGGAGCCAGGCCCCGAGGGAAGTGGGATCCTGGACCCCCCAGGGGCCCTCCTCCGGGACCAGTTCTTCCTCCAGGGACCCTGGCGCGCCGCCGATTACCCTGATGCCTCTTCTGCCAATCCCTTGGCCCGGGGAAGGCCCCTGAAGGCCGAAACGCATGCAGATCCGGGGTGCCTTAAAGGTACCTCGAGGTTACGGCCCGAGGTGCCTTAGGGCTGGACCAGCCAGCCAGGCGCTTGGAGCGGGTGGCCGCGATGGTCACAGAAGCCTCTGTCATCCTTCGCCTCCATTCTTCTCCTCCTCCTCCTCCTCCTCCTCCTCCTCCCCCTCCTCCTCCTCCTCCTCCTCCTCCTCCCTCTCTCCCTCTCTCCCTCTCTCCCTATCCCTCTTTGTCTCTCTCTCTCTCTCTCTCCTTATGTTTTTCTCTTTCTCTCTCTCTCTCTCTCTCTTCCTCTCTCTTCCTCTACCTCTCTCTCTCTATCTCTTTCTCTCTCTCTCTCTCTCTCTCTCTCCCTCTCTCTGAGTTAAATTAACACGCACATGCGTATCTAACGATCCGTTCCCCTCAAAATACCCGCTTGCACCGACTGGCCGCAGCTGGGGGAGCTGTGCTCCTCACACCCCTCGGGGAACGGTGTCGCAGTCCATAGGCTCCCGCGGCTGCGGCTGCCCTGATATGCGCCTTCCCCAGTCAGGCCCAGGGGGCGTTTTTATATTTGTTGCTGTTTCTTTTGAAACCGGAAGGAGAGGAGGGGCGCGCGACCACCGAATTTCACCATTGCGTGACTAGCACGTTAGCGTGAAGCAACATATATCCCAAAGCAAACCACAACGCCACACGAACCCACACCGCCACACGAACCCAAAACGCCACACGAACCCAGAGGGCGTATTTATGTGGCCGATTCGGGGAGCCCTGAACCCCAAAATACTGTCATCCCTCAGAAGGTCGACTTTTGCTCCCGCCAGCTTCCGCCGAACTTCCACCGGCTTCCGCCGCGGAAGAGATGGCAAATCCTTCGATCCTCGAAAGCGAGGCCCTTTCTGGAACGCTCCATTTATGTGCCGATGCTGGGTGCGGGACTGCCCTGGCCATGAGGGGTCGGGGACCTACTGATCCAGGTCCGTCCAGATCCGGGTCAGTCAAACTCTACAAGATCCTGCAAAATCCTGCGGCTCCTGCACCCAAGCCCGGGGTCAATGAAACCCTGGCTCTGCAGGATCCGGCAAGATCTGGCGCTCCGACTGTCGGGCGTTGGCAGAACTGGGTTTGGTGGGACCTGGCTTAGCGATGTGTACTGGGGGACGCCCCCCCCGCCCCGTTCCACTGACCGGAACTGCCGCCACCCGAAAAAACACAAGCTACGGCTGACCTGGTTTAGTGACTCTGGCCACTTTCGGGGCTCCGGGGCCCTATACCACTAACCGGGTCCCCTCACCTGGGGTCCTGGCTACACCCCAGACTGGCCCCCGTTGGCACTGACCCCCGTCTCAGGAGGAGGAGGAGGAGGAGGAGGAGGAGGAGGAGGAGGAGGAGGAGGAAGAGGAGGAGGAGGAGGAGGAGGAGGAGGAGGAGGAGGAGGAGGAGGAGGAGGAGGGGGAGGAGGAGGAGGAGGAGGAGGGGGAGGGGGAGGGAGAAGGGGAGCAGGAGGAGGGTGCCCGTGGACCGGTGCCGGCGCCTGGCCTGTTGTGCGTGCCTCCGCGGGCCTGGAGCTCTCGACGCCTCCCTCGGGGGCCACCTGCCGTCGGGGGTCCGCCCGCCTCGGGTCGAGCGCAAAATGGGGCCAGTGCAGTTGGAGCACGAGCGCCCTTCAAGAAGGTGAGGCCCTCCGTCGGCCAACGCAAGCAGAACATCCGAGGGCACCCTTCTCCCAGGATGCACAAGGACGTCCAACAGACACGAAGGACATCAGGGCCCCCCCCCCCGAACCGACCTCGATCTTACATATCTCGGTCCGACGGCAGGGGGGGCGGAGCGAGCGAATCAGCTCCCACGGGCGGATTTCCCGGCGCTTCCCGGCGCCAATGCATCGAGGAAAGGCGCCCGGCGGCGGGACCGAGCCCAGCTGCATGGCTCTTTCCCGATCCAGCCCCTCTCGTCCGGCCCGACCTGCGTAACCGCCGGCCCCAAGAACTCTCCCCGAAGGCCGAAGCCAGAGGGAGCAGCGCCGGGATCGAGAGCACCGGGCCGCCCGAGGTCTGGGTGCCCTCCGAGCGCATCGAAGATGGTGGACCGAGACACCCGGCCCTGAGGCAGAGGCCTCCCAGACGGGGTCCGAGTGGATCGATGCATCACCGTGCATCGCCGATGCATCGGTGACGGCGGCGATGCGTCGGCGCCGTCGGCGTGGAGAATATCGGGCTCCACGTCGAGCTCCTCGGCCCCCATCTGCTCTGACCCCGTCTCCTCTGACGCCATCTCCTCTGACCCCATCTGCTCTGACCCCATCCGCTCCGACCCCATCCACTAGAACTCAGCAAGGGAGCCCTTCCCCATCCCTTGGGGCCCCACTCTCGAACCCCCGCCTCTCGGGGATCGACCACATAATTGATTTACCCCAGAATTGTCTTTCCAGCCGAATCTACGAACACGTCCGCATACTGTCGCGTATATCCACGAACATTCTACGCGTTTCCTGTATATCCAGCAGAAAAATCATTGTGGGAGTACATCAATTCTGTAATTGATCCCCTAATTATTCGACTCGTGCCGCCCCCCCCCCCCTCTCGGCCTGGCATGATCCGCAGGCCCAACTCCTCCAGGAGCTTGTTGGAGAAGCTACAGACCCAGGAGGGAATCGCCGGAGCAGCCCTGGCCCTCACGGCGCCCAAACCACCTTGTCTGGCCCCCGCCCCCCCCCTCGGAGGATGAGGATGCGGAATGACCCAAGATGGCGACGAGGAGGGGGGGGATGATGAGCGAGAGCAGGAGCAGGAGCAGGAAGAGGAGCAGGAGGAGGAGGAGGAGGAGGAGGAGGAGGAGGAGGAGGAGGAGGAGGAGGAGGAGGAGGAGGAGGATAAAGAGGAGGCTAAATAGGAGGAGGATGAAGAGGAGGAGTAGGAAGAGGAGGAGGAGAAGAAGGAGGAGGAGGAGGAATGGGACGTCAGTGGGACCCTTTTTAGGGTGGGGTGGGGGCGCGCGCCGTGCCCCCCCCATCCCACCCGTCCGTGCGCGGTGCGAGGCTGGCCCCCGCCCCCGCGCGGCCAGGAGCGTGGCGGCGCCGCGCGTCAGCCCGCGCGGCAGCCTCCCGGCCTGCCGCCAGGCCGCAGCTCGCGCTCAGGCCCGCAGCAGGAGGCGAGCCGAGGGGCCCGTGGCCGTGCGCGCCCTCGCTGCCACGAGGCCGGCGGCGACGCGCCCCCGCTCGCCCGGCGGCGCCGCTGTGGCCGCCTCGTCGCCGCACCTCTCCTGCTCGGCTGCGTCCTGCTGCAGCCTCCGGTGGTCCTCCTGCCGCCTGCCCCTCGAGGCGGGCCCGCCACTCCGCTCTGGTGACGAGGGCCTCCTCCTGCCCTCCCAGCATCGCCTCCGACGCGGCCGCAGGAACGCCGCCCTCGCCACTGTGAGGCTCGGGCCCTCTCGTCGCGGCCGCTCAGGCCAGGCGGCGGCATGCTCAGCGCACAGTCGTGCCGCTGCGTGGTCCCCTGGCTGTGGAGGCTGTGGCGGCCGCGCGACTTGCACGGGCTGGGTCGGCCTGGCCTCCTTGGCGCTGTCCATGTCCGAACTCCGCCCCTCCGCTGAGCCGCTGTCAGTGTCTGTCTCGCTGGTGCAGGGTCTGCTGTACTCCTTGCCACCCTGGCAAGGCTAGCCCTGTGCGGCTCCTTGGCAGCCCTTTTGTGGCCCCCAGTCTGTGGTGGCGGGGCGAGTGGCTGCGTGACCGCCCCAGCAGTGCGCCCATGTTCCCTACTATAGATGCCGCTGAGCCCCACGTCGACGCCCATGATTTCGTCCAACGTCTGGGCACCCACTGGGGCGGCTGTGGTGTCTGATCTTGCAGCGCTTCCTGTCGGCTGTTGATGTTCTCCCATTCCGAATCCTGCTGCGCCGCACGTTGATGGAGACGTGTGCTGAAAGGTCGAGTGGCTGCGGTTCCTCAATGTCTTCCTGAATGTCTCGGTCTCTGCTCTGCTAGCAGGCGCCATTGGCCCCAAAGCACGTCCTCGGTGTCCGTGTCGTTGGCCATGCTGCAGTTCGGCGGTGGTTGATATCCGTCTCCTCCTCTCGTGCGCCAGCGCCGTCTCCGCCCGCGCCTGGCGGCGGCGCCGCCGCCTTATTGTTGGCCATCCTGTCGCGTCGGCCGCGGCTCCCGCCGCGGCCAGCATTGTCCCCGCGACCTGCACGCCGTTCGTATCGTTGGCAGCGCTGTCCTCCGCTTCTCCCGTCTAGGGTCCGGTCGGCTCGCCGAGGGCCCTCCGTGGCTCCCCTCGGGCGCAGTCCCCCCTCCATGCTGTTTGGAGGGCCCGACTGCGGAACAATGGTTGGTGCCGCTGCGGTTGTCGTCGCATCTGCCATCGGCGCCATCTTGCCCCAACTCGCCGAGCTCCCGCGGCATCGGTCAGCCAGCGGTTCTGCGCCCAGTCGGTGAGCGCGAACTGGCCTGGCCCATTCCCACATCCAAGGCGAATCCACTTGCCGTCGGAGCGCCTGTGCACGCAGTGGCCCGTGGCGGCGTCCAGCATCTTGCGGCGCTCGAAAGATTGCCCCCGGACGCCAGCGTATCGTTCTCGCTGCAGCTTGGGGTGGTCCAATGCAACCATGCGTGCCGCGACTGCTCCAGTGTGCTTGTGAATCCGTTTGAGCAGCATCTCTCGCTCTGCCAGCAAAACTACATGTGGTGCGGCTAGATGCGATATCATCTCGGCCCCTCCCCGCGCGCGGCCGTCGGCTAGCTCCGTGCCTCCTGTCGCAGTGAGCGGCTGTCCTGTGCGCACGATGGCGGGGAGTCCACGTGAGAGTAGCACATGCGGGACGAGATGCCCTGGATGCCGCCGTCTCCGGTGGCGATTGCCCCCCTTGTCCTCGCCCGCCATCTGGCCGATAGGCCGCCGGGCAGCATGCAGTTGAAGCTGCGCCGGCCGCCTACCACCATCTGGGTGTCGCAATAAATGGTGAGCGGTCGTCTGATAAGACGGAGCATCCAGTATGTGGTTGCCAACTATGCTGCTCCAGCGGTCTGGAGGTCAGCGATCATGCCGAACCATCCGGGGCGCGCTGAGACGTGGTCGGGCTCGCTGTCGTGGAGCGGCAAATCGAGTGCCACTCCCCAACCCGCTCCCGCCGCTCGCTCATCGGACGATGTCGCCGAGCCCCCGGCGTAGGTCGCGGTGGTGATGATGGTGCCGTGGGGCACCTGTAGACTGTCACATCCCACTGTCCAGCACTCGTCTGCCATGCTGCGGGCCAACTGGGCACATGGGTGAGGGGAGGATGCCGCGCACCCAGAACGCCCTCTCGATCGGGATGTCGCGGACAGCTAGTGCTTGGATCGCGGGGTCTGCTGCGCGCTCGATCCAGGGGTGCTCTATGGTCTGGCGGCGTGTCACGCACTCTAATGGCGCATCGCATGCGTGTGGGCGCTGTATTGCACCCTGCGGCATGGCACTTCTGATTGGTCCAGATGGCCGCGCATACTGCGGCGTCCCGAGCGCCCGCCTCCTGTTGGCGCTCGAGCGCCCTGGACTGACGGGCGAAGGCTTGGATACCTCGAACGTCTGCTCCGCCATGTAGTCCTTGGTATTATGGATGTCTGCTGGCTTACTTCCAGAGGCAGTCTTCGGCGATTTCTTTGATGGCGCCCTCGACCTCGGTTGGGCGGGCAGTTTCGCTGCTGCTAGTCTGCAACTGCTCGCCGCGATGGTCGGCCCACACGTCGGTCTCCCTGGCTTCCCACCCCAACAGGGCCAGCGTGAGCTGTAGCGCGGCCATTGGCCCAAAGGCTGCCTGCCAATGCCCTCGCGTGGTGACTCTGCCCAGGTGGCGCGCAACTGCCTGCCATCCTCCTTGCAGGTGGTCGTGGAAGTCGGCGTTGGGTCTGCACATCTAGACCCACTCCCGCACTTGCCTTGCGACGCTGGCCTTGCAGAGTTGTCGCCTGCAGCGCGATGGCGGCGCAGCGGTGCCCTGCCGCAATGCTTGCCATGTCCGCCGCCTCTGCCCTGGTGCGTTGATGTCTTGCGTCGCCATGCCCGTCGAGGCCTGGTCGTGCTGCTGTTTGGCCCTGATGCGGGCGCGGTAGAGGCTCGCGGCGCCGCGTCTCCAACGCGCGGCTCGAAGGAAAAGTGCGCCGCGGCGTAGCCTCTGTCGGGCCAGGGCCGTTCGCTTTCGCTGCGTGGTGCGCCGACGCCTCTGCCCGATCGCCGCGTCGCACCCGAGGTCCTTCATGACCTTCGCCTGGGTCAGGGTGAGGTTGCGCCTGTGGGCCGCTTGCCCCGCCGCATCCCTGACAGCTGGTTGGGTGGCAAAGATGGCCAGCATGTCGGACATGAGCAGCTGGTCGACGACGCAGCAGATGATGATGGCACCAGTGCTGGTGACAAGCTGGTGGCTGACGATGCTCAGCTGACCTTCTGCGCGGATCTGGATGTCGTCGACGCGCTGCCAACGCCAGGCCGTCGGCTCGCGCCAACCCCTTTGGCGTTGCGCCGCGCAATCGATGGCCCGCAAACCCGCGAAGCTCGCGCACCACGCGGGGCGAGATACATGGGAGCGCACATGTAGAGCTCGACGGGCGGGCGCTCCAGGTGCTCGGCCTTGCGGATGGGCATGGCCAGGTTGATGTTGTCGTGGAACTTCCAAGTCCAGGAACGGGCAGGCCCAAGCTTCAGCTGAGCGCACGCGGGCCCGCGGGTCGCGGGTTCATCCAAGCACGGCGCCGCCAATGGGCGCCTGGAGGGCTGAGCTGCCAGCCGCCGCAGCATCCCATAATGCCGCCCAATCTTCGCATCACTGGCCCGCCTTCCGTCTGGGGAGCCTGCCCCAGATGCGGACCGCAAGTGGGTGGGGGGCCGATGGGCCTCTCCTCTCCCGCGACCGTGCTGTCGATTTGGCGCAGCAGCTGGTGCCGCGCGCGGCGGAACTGGCGCGGCCCGGCCAGGGCCCCCTCGAGCTCGCTGGCGAAGTTCACCAGCTCCTGGCGCGCAGGCCTGGCTCAGGCCAGGGCCCCACCAGGCCGCCATTGGTCGCGCCCTCTACCCGTCTGCTTCTTGAACTTGCGGGGGGCCCTGTCTAGGTCGTCGCACTCGCCCGGCATCATGTCAGCCCTGACACGGCTGACCTTTCTCCAAGATTGCTCCATGGCGTACTTGAGGTCGGGTGCGCCGGCGTCTCGCTGCCGGCGCGTTCCCCGCGCCGTTGTGCGCAGATGTACTTTGTGCGAGAGGTCCCCTTCAACTCGCTGGTCCTTCGGGCCGATGTTGACTTCAATGAGCTGAGGCCCTTCCGCTCGGGATTGCTGAAGTACACGTGGCCCTCGCCCCCGGATCTTTGCAGCGCCTGCTCATTCCAGTGGCGGACTGCCGTCCTGGTCTCTTGCCGCGCGCCCTCAAGGCCCTGCTGTCGTCGCTGCTGTCGTCGTCGGCCAGCTTCTGCTTCTCGCGGATCTGCTGGCAGGTCTTGGCGTTCATTTCCTCGATGGTTCGTCTCTGGGCGGACTCGCCTCTCGACCTATTGACCACTTTGATGAGCTCCGCAGTCCTCCCAGACAGGGTGCTCCACGCGTTGGCCTCCGGTCACCTGGCCCCATCGCGGTGCCCTTTGCGACGCTTGGTGCAGGTCGCCGCCGAGAC